ATATGCTTTCACCTACATTATATCAAAAGAAAATAAGTAAACGATAATGGTTAATTAAGCGACCTCTTTCAATTAATCGCCTAAGCTTTAAGATTTTGGAAAGATGCTTTGTAGTTAGGGATTCCCATTTCGCACTGTATTTGAAAACAAATGCCTAGGTGAATGCGGAGTTCTAGATTTAATAACTTCGATGTTTTTTTTGGTTCTAGGTCCGCTACAGATGCTGCCCGAAGAAGGGTGGATGTGACTGAAGCTCAATCAACACCTCAAGAAACAGCTAGACCGGTCAAATAGGGACTTGGAGACGGGGAAAGGGACGACGGTTTTCTCTTTTGTCTGGGTTTTTGTCTTTATCTAGTGGGAGTGGGGAAGGTAACTTTGTGAAGCATGATTATCATGTAGCCAGAATTAGAATAAATAAAGTTTATTGACATGTCACATGTCGTATATCAACAACTGAAGTGTCTTTTGAACAACTGCTTCGTTTGCGATCTAAACTTACTACTGGTAGATTTCTCTTCGTTGGCTCAACTTTTTCTGTTTGAAAAGAATAAGTCTTCTAAATCTGTTAATACCTCTCTTCCTTTCTGTCGCCCATTGCATATCCAATGGTAATAATTCCACAGCACATTTTATTCTGCGCGTTTTCTCTGTGGGTCCTTCACTAGCTGCCTTTTGTAGGGTCGAGTATTTTTACACAGGGTCTGGACTGGGGGAGAATAAGACCTAGACAAAAATTCCTTGAAATTTCTATGCCTATGATGAACAGTGACTCGTCTACTAATTTTTGCTCCCCAAAAGGAAAACGCAATAAAGAGATTGTCGTTATTTCATGAAAATCCCTATTCTGCCGTTCTAATTTATGATTGTCACCTCCTCTTTTTGATAAATGTCGAGGGGAATCAAATAAAATTAAACCCTGATTTAAGCTTACCATAACTCAAGTTGAAGAAGAAAAAAACAATACTGTAAACTGATAACAAAGGACGCATATAAGAAAAGTCTCATATGGAAACCTTTTGGGAGGAAATACTCGCGAATAGAGTTCAGTCGCTTTCATCAGTCTACATAGTAAGCAATGTGAAGAAAATAATGACAGAGGATGAAATTGTTGGAAGACTTTTTTAACTTCTTTCACAATGCCATTCAACGAAGAATTTTCGAATTGATACTACCGTGAAAGATTAAAGTGCAGTAAGGATGGGGTAGGTGGAATAAAACATTGTTCCATCGAAGTGAGGCTACCGTCTGGCGTCCAAAAATTTCGTCTTTGTGACCTCTGGTGCTTAGTGTCACACAAATCAAATATGGCGGACGTAAACAGTGAGGGAAAAACAGATGCCTCTCCCGCCAAGGAACGCAAGTTTTCTTTGACACCGATAGAGGCCATGGCTGAAGTCGACAAGCTCAAAGAAAGGGTTCGCTCCCTATCTTTTAGTAGTACGATCTCAGGAGAAAGTACTGACAGTGGCAGTTCCGTCACACGACCACTCGTGAAAAAGCAGGACGATTTAATAGATTGCTTGAGTGTTATGCGGCGCTTGATGGAACAGGCAGAGGGTGAGAGCAAACGAATGAGGGAGGAAAAACTTGTTATTGCTTCTAAAATCAACAGTTCTCTTACTGCGGTTAATCGGGAGGTGGAATATTTGAAGGCAGAACTTAGAGATCAAGACAAGAGGCTGTCGGAGCTGGCGAGCAATAAATTAACTTCTGAAACGAAAACTGATGGTGCTGGATCGTCTAAGAGTATAGTAGAAGATTATAAAGAAGACAATGATAGATTACGGTGTGAAAACGAGTTTTTAACCAGAGAACTCAACGAATGGAGAAATGGAAACACAGACTTAGATCAGCTTCGGCAAAGGCTCCATTCTTGTGAACTCGAAATTGCTCGAGCTAAAGAAACGATTTCTTGTATGAAAATGGAAAGGAAACGTTTGAAAACGGAAAAAATGGATTTACTTAATCAAATGAAGCAGGTTTATGGAATATTGGAGGTAAAGGAAACAGAACTTAGAGAATTTATTCAGAATTATGAACAACGGATGTTAGAAGGTGAAGAACGAATTAAGCGCCTGGAGAGCGAAAAGCGGACTTGGGATAAGGAGCGATGCGATCTATTAAGAGAAACCGATAGCTTAAAATCACAGTTGGAACTGAAAGACGTACAGCTGAAGGAATTGGAAGCTGATTTTTTCGAAGTGAAACGACATCTGACGGCTCTGCAATCTTCGCTCAGCGAGAACAATTCACAGTTCTTTTTTAAAACGAACAACTTAAATGTGGACACCGCAGGAGGCAAACGTACATGTAGAACGAACGCCACGAATATTAAGAAGATAAATTCCCTGCAAAACTTGAAAGATTCACCAAGATCCCCGCTAAAAAACGGAGGTAAGTTTGTTTGCGTGATCTCGATCTCATTTCAAATTTTTGTGTAATGTACATTACGTTGTTTATTTTCTCATTATTTTTGTACGAGAAGGAAAAGGCTTAAAGACTTTCAAAATAGCCAGCCTTCCTGGCGAAGATTTGCTGGTAATTCAGGAAATCTGTGTTAATTTTACAATCTTCACTTGACAATCTCCTTAAAATCAATAGATGTTGAAAGCGCTAATTCGATTGCGTTACGATCTTTTCCAGACCTTAGATATGCAAGACAGACTATTGATTTCATAGTTAATCAGGTGCTTTGTGATAACAAGCACGCTACTATCAGAAATTTAATTGTGATCTCCATAAACTTGGACATAATTTCGCCAAGATATTCACTCAGCGCACATCCATTCTTCATTAAAAATGTAGATCTACCCTATGTTTATGTTTTACTAAAACCCGAATACCGGATGTTTGCTGAAGACTCTCAACTGGAAAATTATGCCACTCCTAGGCCATTCGTCAGCTTTAGATACATTTTTAAGAGTATTCAATCTGTCAAATTTTATTTACATCATCTCTGAGTTGCAGACACAGTCACAAAGGCACAGTTGTATCATTCGTTTTCAAATTATTCTAATTTTTAAACCACTTGATTAAGGTGATATGGATCTTCTTTCTGACAGGCTTGTAAGTCGATCGCGTTTGTTTTTGAAATGTAGCAATGGTTTTCAGATGTCTTCATAATCACTAGACAAAGAAGCTTATCTGACAGATTAATGAGTTTGCCCTAAGGGCGTTCCACAGTCAAACAATAGGGATTTGGGATCTTTTTTGCTATTGGTTCATTATTGTATGGGCAAAAGAGCCATGCTGATCTGTTTTGAGCTAAATTATCATTTTTGAAGCTATTGATGACAGTAATTTGATATTAGTCAAAGACCATTTTATAGGATTTATGAACACACTCAAACAGTTTAGGTTTAATTTTTTTCATTGTAAATTTAAACAGTTCTCTTTGTGCTTGCTCATAGATATGTGTATTTCTCTATATAGATAATGCAATTTTACCACAGGCAGGGATCTTAGTTCATGATCAAGTATTAAGAAGTCACCCATGGGGAATGGCAGGGTGACCCCTTTAATACAGGTCCCACAGGCTAGGGGAATTAAAAAATAATAATAATTAACAGTGCCACTTTATGCCATAATTGACCACTTAATGTACAGAATCTTACTTGAAAATACTACCTACTTTTATTTTGTAAGAGAACATGGATTAAAAATTACTTGAAAGACTGTTCATATTTTTATTAAAGTGCTCCCACTTTCAGTGACTGTTTAATACAGGTCTAGGACAATAAAAAGAGGTTACTGGGACTTGGTAAAGGGTGACCACAACCGCCTAATAGATACTAAATTACACTGATTGAGAGGAAACAAATTCAGGACTTTGACAACTGATTGCTTAATACAGGGTGACTGCTTAATACATTTCTGCTCAATACAGGTTTGACTGTAGGCTTCTTTGATTAATTTTGTTTTTTCAATATTGTGGGAAAATTGTTGAAAGTTTAGTCACATTTAATTGACATAATTAGTTATATTGTGCTAAGTGATGTTAGAGAAGTCTGCATGTTTTATTTTTTATGGCCAGATGACAATTTTTTCTGAACAATATTGTTGTCAACTTATCATCAAGGTTGGGTCTCATGATAATTTTCTGTTTTACATGGTATCTTGAAGTGTTGTGAATCATCATTAGCTGATATTTGTGTTTAGGTTTTGTATATTTTGATGGGTCAATGAAATGAGTTGTGGTTATATAAGGAAGTTTTACAGCAACAGGTTTTTTTGGCTGTGGTTGATCCTTTTCAAAGGATAGAAGTGAAAGCAAAAAGTAGTTGGACAGATGCTATTTAAAAAAAAAAAAAGCCTTGATCTCAATTGTAAATTTGTTTGTTTGGAAATTCAGGAATAAATTGTATCTACTTTCCATGAACATAACATCATTCCATATTCACTAAAACAGAAACTCTGAGAACCTATCTGCGTGGAATCATTTTATCATCACAGAAATGTTGCAGAGATGCCTTTATATCCTATTTTTAATTATGCACATCAATCAATTGATGAGACTTTTCATGCTATGCCACCACATGGAAAACTGAACCCCAGATGGTAATAGAACTTTTTGTGTGGTCCAATGCCAGATTATCTATCACTTTTACTGATAGTATTCAAATTCTGATGTTGCAACATGAAGTATTGGTTCATTGTTGCATTGTTTCTTTCTTGGTGTATAATTACAGTTATTTCCTGGAAGGTGAATTTTCATGATTTTGTCATACTTATGTATTTGGAATAGTCAATTTGGTACTTTCCCTGTTTTACTATTGGTAATAATGATTACTTTCAGGGCTAAAAAATGGCGGTTGCACAGTCGCCAGTGGCGAGTTAAAACTGACCAGGGCCACCAAAAGTTAAGGTTTGAATGCCCGATGTGTGACTATGCTGCAGAATTTAGAAAAGTTGCAATGTAAATTATGCAAAGTACAAAGTTAAAAATAAAGCTGAATATGTAATTTAATTGGACTACCTTTCTCTTCGTTTCTTTGCCTGGACTCTAAGATCATCCATTTTGGTGAAGTTTTAGTTCTGAAGTTGGAAATCTTGAGCTGCTTTTACAATGATGTCACGAGTGATCCACATTCACAGCATATAGATGCCATTTTGATTTTGTGATTGCCATGTGACTCTGGACATATCAAGAGTTCTGTGCGTGATATGTTCTTTCCTTTTAGTTGACGCTCCATTAAAAGCCATGGGGCGTTTAATCAAGTTTTTCATTTTAAAATAGAGGAAATCAAGGGCTACTTCATTTTGGGATAGGCCACTAAGAATTCAAGGAAACTGGCCCAACTGGCCACCAAGCACTGGAGTTAATTTTTAGCCCTGTACTTTTACTTTTATCCTTTTCTTTTTTTTCATAGATCATTGTCCTGTGCCAGTCCCAAGATCACCAGTGGGGTCAGTTTCATCAGACTCTCAGTCTGATTTAAGCCAAGCCCCTACACCAAATGACTCAGAAGTCTTTGATTTTGGTGTTCAAACCAACTATGAACAACATGACCCAAGTAAGAAGAAAATCAAGAGACGTTCATCCTCACTGTCTAGGTTTTTTTCACGAGGAAGGCAACGAAAGCCTCTCTTCAAGCCTTTAGTTAAAGGTAAGCAGCCAATATCTTGTTTTTAAATGTTTTTACCACTTATTGTCCAAGTGAGTCTGAGGGTGTACTGCTTTGAAGAACTTGAATGATGTGTTTTACATTTGAACCGAAATGTTAGATTTACTGTATTTTTTCTTTCATCTTTTTTTTTTAATTTATAAGTCCATTTTATTTTATCATAAGTTTAGAATATGTGTTGAATAGATTTTCACCATTTTAGTAGTACTTAGATGTATGTTTGTCTCTAACTTTGATAAACAGGACCTCTCTGAAATCCACCTTTTTTTCTAGATAGGACTGTGTGTAGACACTGTCATAAAAGAATGATGATTATTATAACTGATGAATTTTTTTGCTGTTTACACTCTCTCCTTTGTTCAGAATTCTGTTTGCATCACAAATGAAAACTGTGAATAGGTTTTTTTTGGTCAAATTCTATTGGAATAACTGATTTTCTCCAGCCATAATGATAACTCCTGATAAACTTAAGTCAGAATACTTTTTGCAGGTGAAGTGTTCCTGTTTCTCATCCTGAAGAAAATACACTTTTTTTGGGGGGGGGGGGATGATTCTGCCACAAAAAAGACTTTTTACATCGAATGAAAGAATCCAACTCTAAAGGAAGACTTAACACTTACTTGCAGATTTATCTATTTCTTTATAATTTATTTTAATTGTTATTACAATTACACAATTACTAGTGGCCATGTGAACTTTAATATACTTGAATATACTTTAGTAGTGGTTTGTTTAGCTGTCTCTGGGTTACTTCATAACACTTCAGTCTATAGCTCTTCTGTGCTTCCTTGGTTTGCATTTCATTCAAGTTGTTTACCAATTTGTGTAGCATTGGCTGTGGCTGCACTCAGATAGTTAACTAGGTATATTTTTTAGAAACTTGTGCAAAATTTCCAAAAACCTTCACTTAGTGAAAGGTTGGTTAAGATGAAACAACAGGGTTAAATTTTTTTAATTACTGCAGTGAAATGGGTTATAAATGGGTGAATGTTATTGATATCATGGGAGAAAGGCAGGTCTTTCAAACATGATATTGATATTACTTAGATGCCAGTGCTCTCCATAGCCGTCAAATGAATCTTCCCTTGGTTGGGTCTATCAAAGAAATCAGTGACGGCTTAAGGGAATCACTAATTCTGCCATCTTTGGCCTATGTAAAGAGCACTTTTGAATGAACATTGAGTCCTTTCAAGTGCCTTGATGTATCCTTTCACTAATTATGACAAAAAGAAACTCTTGCCTTCAAGCAGTAGTATAACAATGGAGATTCATGTGGAAATTTGATTGTGGCTTAAGTAATATAACTTGCACTGATAGGAGACTACTAATTTGGGTTTCACTATGCAGGAAGGTGGTTTAAAATTAACTAAACTTAGTTAAATAAAAATCTATTGTCCTTCAAATTTACTTCTATAGTTACTGTTAACCCAGTTTCAGTTCAACAAAAAGCTGAATAAAGGGGCCATATCATGATTTTTCGGAAACTCCACAATTTCTAATTAATTAATTACAAAATATCTCATTTAACTTGTGTAATGGGGCCATGGCCATTCTGTTATGATGCAATTTCATGACATTTGTAAACTAAATGAGAATTTTAATTGTACATTGAACCTTAAATTTTGCAACTGAAGATGGCTTATGAATGTTGAAACATGTTTAATTTGCAAATTATTTTTTTTTGTAAATTAAAATGGATTTATTAATACCCTCTGCTTAGAAAGAACCTAGTACATAACAGCATGAGAATAGAATGTTGAGAGTTGGAAGAAAAAATATGAACAACAAAAGATGGGAAAGCCCTCCTTAGTGCTTGTTAGCATCAGGTTGCAATTATACCAGTATATTCCTGTTACTCATTTTTCCAAATCTGACCACATTTGTACCTCTCTTCTTTGATTTTGTACAGAATTTCCAGACATTGATAATGTGGACAAAACTCCAACCAGCATGAGTTATGCCGAGAAAAAGCGTGTGTGGGAAATACACAAAGACATCCCAATGGTTTGTTGGAAAGCCAATATGGTTTTAGCCTGGCTAGAGGTGGAGTGCCAAATGCCTATGTATTCACCGATGTGTTATGACAACATTAAAAGTGGCAAAGTGTTGTTGGAGCTTAATGATACTGAGCTTGAAGCTGGACTTGGTATGGGTAACATAATGCATCGAAGGAAATTGAGATTAGCTATTGAGGATTACAGGGAGCCCTCTTCTGTGTAAGTGCTTCTGTATCATCTCCTCTTTACATGCAGATTTCTTTTTCCCTCGTAATAAAGGTGATTGACAGAGGCATTTTATCCTTGGATCAGTATGCACATTTTTCATACTGTTCTCTAAACATTTTGTATTAGGCTGACAAGGAAAGTTTGTTAAATAATGGAGAGCTTCTGTATTTAGTGATCAATTCCTTGATTCTTGTGATCTTAATGTGTGATCCTGATTATTTTTTAGAAAATTTTCAGAGATATCCTCTGTAGATCACCTTTGGGTGTCCCGCATATGGATTAGAGACCTGGGTCTCAGCCAGTATTGCTCAGCATTTGAAGCTCAGATGATTGATGGAAGGCTTTTGAATGTGCTCACAAGAAAAGATATGGAGAAACATCTCAATGTCAGCAAAAAATTTCATCAGGTAAGATAGTAGAACTGAAGGGAATAGGCCATTTTACAGTTGTGTGCTTGGTTGCCAAGCCTTTGAACAGGAGCAAGGCTAAGGGTGACCTAGTTATTATACAAACTTCGCTGCTTTTCAAATGCAAATTACTTTGTTATCATACTGGTCTCTTTTAGCCTCACTCCAAATCAAAGGCTTGGCAACTAAGTACACAACTGTAAAATGGCCTATTGTGAGCCTTCTTATATCCCCCCCTCTCCTCAATGGAACCTCCAATGACACTCACCTCTCATAAGGAGCCACCTTCTCATAACTCTTAGAGAACAGTTCATCGATTCAATCTTATTTTAACTCCAGCCTTGTTCCAACAACCACCTCTTATACAAGTCCCACTTCCCTTTGTTCCTGAGGTTTGATAGCTTATTATTTGTACTGAAGACTATGATGTTTTCAACTGACATAGAATAAAGACCTCAGAGATATTTATTCACCCATTTGTTCAATATCCAAAGTGGATCCCCATCCCTCTTTGATTTTTGTTTGTGATGTCTAGAAAACTTAACAAACTGATGGAGTGTATCTCTTATGTTTCAAAGTCAAGTATTCTTCATGGTATAAAGTTGCTGCGGATGATGGAGTTCAACAAAGAGGTTTGTCAATTGTGTAGTTTCAGACACGTGGTATTGACCTTTAACTGGTTGTTTTAGGAACTTGTAGACATTCCTATTGGAGCAAGCAATTGCTCTTTCTATGTACATAAATGTATTTTTTTTTTCTTTGTGCAGTTGCTAATGGAGCGTAGAAGAAAAAGTGAAGAAAATGACTTGGATCCTCTAGTTTGGACTAATGAGAGAGTTGCTAAGTGGTGCCGTTCTGTGGACTTGGGGGTGGGTAAATTAGGTCAAGAACATGCACTCAGTTATGAATTAAATCAACTGTTTGGAAGTTGAGGGTTTAATGGTAGGAAAATGCGATTATGCCCTGTAAAGAAGATTTAAGACTTTGTAATTGAACTACAAGTGATGCTTCAGGATTCCAGTGAGATAACTAAGAAATAAAAAAAATTGGAAAACATTTTGGATACTTTCAGGGGTAACAATCAGTTATTTACTCAATATTGGGTATAATTATAGATTATGTTTTGATTTCACATTTAAGGAATATGCAGACAGTTTGAGGGACAGTGGTGTCCATGGAGCATTGTTGGTCCTTGATCAATCGTTTGGAGCAGATGAACTGGCTCAAGCTCTTGGCATTCATTCATCCAAGAACATTATCAGGAGGCATCTTACCTCTGAACTGTTATCTGTGTTAGTCCCTGCAAGGTAGGATATTTTTTATTTGCAAAAATCACAAGTGAATAGGGAAATCTACCTTTAAATTGCATACAATGTTATAATTCAAATTGTTTTGTGTTTCATTTGATCAATCCTTCCCTTGGTCACACCATGTATAAAGGGAACTTACATATAATTTGTTAAAAATCCAATAAGAACTGCAGTGGCACCCAGTGAAACTGAAATCAAAAACAAGGAGAAACAGAAGACACGTCGATCACTGAGTTTCAACTCTGGCAGCCGAACTAGTATGAATTCAGATATCAAAAGACACAGCTTCAGAGTAAGTCAGTTCAGTACATGCTAAATAATGAAATGATGCTATTCATTTGCCTACATAGTAGTTTAAAGAGAACTTAATACAATGCATGTCTTTTTTTGGGACACTATACGGTAAAACAGACAAGACTTAAGGTTGTGCATTCTTAAAATTTACCTATGAATTAATATGATAAAATTTTTGTCTGGTTGTATTAAAAAAGAAAAGAAAAGAAAAGAAAAACTTCATCTTGAGACCTGTGATGGAAAACTCAGTATGCATGATAGGAATGTTTATGTCATACAGTATATTTGAAAATATGACTGTAGGTCTTTGAGATTTTGATCCTTGTCTTATCAAAGAAAGAAAAGAAGTTATTTCCTGAAGGGAAGATTTATATCCCTGTTTTAGGTCATAGTTTAATATTTATTTTCTTTCAGTGGAAATACTTAACTTAGTAAATTTGAATTATCAAAATTGTAATTATAATAACCAAACTTCCAAATAACCATGATCTCAAAATTAAAAAAATTGTAATCTGTTTAATTAAGTTTCTCCCTACACTTCTTTTGTGTTCTAGCTGCTTCCTGTATGCTTTACAACAGAACAAAGCACAGTCAAGGCTTCTCTATTTGTTAATTGATTAATACTGAAATGGTTCTGTTTAAATGAATTGCTTCTTCCCCCTAGCTTTAAACTCATTCCTTATTTTTTTAAAAATGGATCAATGAACTAGCTACAGCTTAAACTGATAACTAATTCTGTACTTTTCCTAACCACTTTGTGCAATTTTTCTTATGAAGCACATGTGTTCCCTTGAAATATGCTACTGAACAACCTACTGTAACTGTTCTTTTATTAACCTCTCTCTGTAGAAGGTCACACTCTGTGCTAAATCAACTATGGAGACTCATCTCTGAAGCTGGCTGCAGACCAACTTTACTTCAGTTAAATGTAAATACTATTGAAAATTCCTAAAGGCTAGTGAATGCTCTCATCTTTCATTTCAGCCTTTAAACTGTACACTGTCTCATTCTGCTGATTCTTACATTCTCATTTGTTAAGAAAAATTATTTACATCATAAAGCACTTTGTTCCCATAATTAGTTTGTTTGATTTTGAATCATGTTGTTAAAGTACCACCAAACATGGTCTGTCATGACAGTGGTGTGGACAAGAGCTGTAATTTTCTGATTTCTCCTTGATGCTGCATTACAATGAAATATTTGGTCACAAACTTTCTCCAAGTCTTAAGTCCATTCTTTTGGCTATAAAATAATGGCTAGATGTTCTTTTTATGTACCTCTGTCAATAATTATTTTTAAATTTCTTTCAAATTGATCTCAGTTATCATCAATAATTATTTCATCTGGATAAAGTTAGTAAACAAATTGCCATAATTTAAAACCAAACTATTGGGTTATGACATCAATGTTAAGAAGGATAAAAATGAGAGGCAAACATAGACCTGTCACATTTTCATGCTTGGATGATGCTTAAATTCTAAATACTCAATTCTGGAATACTCAAGATAGCATTAAAAGCCCTGTCAACACACATGATTTGAAACTGAATTGGAGATTTTTGTGGAAACTAATGTAATTAACAATAATTTGTCAATAACAAATGGTAGAGACTTTCACTAACTGTTGATGACTTTACTTAACTTTGAAGGAAAGGTGTAGTCATTGTTTGTGCACCTAAAAAGATCTGTCCTTTTTATCTATAGTATAACAAAAAGTCAGGTTTCTCTCTAAAATAAGAGAATTGTAAATGTGGTCTTTAAAACTTTGAAATGATTGAGAGTATTCACTTGTCTAGGAGAAGAATCCACTGATGTACTTTTAAGTACATCAGTAGATTCTTCTAATTTCTTTTCTTTTATATGTAGCTGTTTAATTTCTTATTGCATGTGCATGCTTGGTATGAGACATTACTACTGTCACTCACTTGTGTATGGCCTTATTGTTACATACATGTAACTACATACTCTCACTATACTCTTGTGTTTTTTACCCCTATCCTCATCATGAAATACAGCTGTGTGAACATCCACCAAGTTAACCACCTACCAACATACCTACCCACCTACCAAGCTACATACATGTGTTAACCAACCAACTCACCTACCTACCAAGCTACATACATGTGTTAACCAACCAACTCACCTACCTACCAAGCTACATACATGTGTTAACCAACCAACTCACCTACTTACCAAGCTACAAACATGTGTTAACCAACCAACTCACCTACCTACCAAGCTACATACATGTGTTAACCAACCAACTCACCTACCTACCAAGCTACAAACATGTGTTAACCAACCAACTCACCTACCTACCAAGCTACATACATGTGTTAACCAACCAACTCCCAAGCTACAAGCATGTGTTAACCAATCAACTCACCTACCTACCAAGCTACATGCATGTGTTAACCAACCAACTCACCTACCTACCAAGCTACATACATGTGTTAACCAAGCAACTCACCTACCTACCAAGCTACAAACATATATTACCCAACCTACCCACCTACCTACCTACCTACCTACTTACCAACCTAGTTACATACATGTACTAATCAGCTAACCTACCTACCTACTTAGCTAGCTACAAACATATCTTAACCAACCCACCTACCTACCTACCTACCTACAAACATGTACCAACCAAGCTCTTACCTACCCACCTAGCTCTCTTTTACCAACATACCTATCTACTTACTTATCTACCAACCTTTGGGTTCAAATTTAAGAAAGCTGTAAGCAACATACATCCTTACCTGCTACCTTACCATTTACATACCTCCATACATTGCATTTACCAACCCCCTTAACTAACTACCTATCTAACCCACATACTTACCTACCAACCCACTCAGCCACCTATCTTTTTATTGCTACCTACAATACCAGTCGACCTGCTTGCCTGACTGTCTTTCTCACAAGCCATAACTTGTCCATATAATATCTACCTTATACAAAAGTGTCAACCTGGACGTTGTGTTGTAGCCCACTCTTACCAAACCCGACTAGCATCACTCTAAATGTGTTTTGCTTTTCCAGTTCTTCTAATTTAACTTTTTGCTTTCATGATGAAAGCTTGTGTTAAATATCTATCAGTGCCTGGTACAAAAGTTTTATTTGAGAGGTCTCTCTTAAACCAGGCAGCTTTAAACAGGGCCAAAAAACAATCGAATTTGAGGAAATTTTAAAAATACTAGTTAATTTGAAATCTTAACCAACCCTCAATCCTCGTTTGTCTCATTTTTCTCTAGATATGATAACTTTGTAAAGTGTGTAATGCTAACATCGTTTGCCTGAATTTGATTTAAAATATTCAATCTTCACTTCCTATGCACTTTTATTCAATGTGGTGAATGAAGAAATCAAATATATCAAGAGACTGTAGGCGAGTGTCTGGTCCTATCCATTTTGATGTTAATGGGATTGTAGAATTATTTCAAACCTTATGTTAGGGGGTGTCATTACTCATTAACACCCTGGAAAGCGATACGATATTTATCCCCGTACCCCAATTTTGTGTGAAATGTAACATGTGTAGAATTGTCGAGACAGTTCCTCACATCATCTTATGGGTTTTCATTCGTCTGGCAGCATACACAGGTAAGCAAAAAAATATATGTGGATGGCTTTGAAATGAAATCATGGCTTTGATACGTAAACCAAATTCAGCCAAAAGTGGTGTCTGAACATCACCTTAGATAAAGTACGATAATCAGTTCAGACAACTTCATGGCGTGTGAGGTTTTTTTCTTTTCGAGGCACCTTGTTATAAAATATGTCAGATATTACGGTGTTCTAGCTTTTTTTTAAAAGACTCAAAGAGGCTTCCTGGTTCTGCTTGCGAAATTTTAATAATTATCATTCTGTTTCTATTTTTAGGATTCATTCATGACTCATAAAAAGAACAGACCGACAAGAACAAGTAGTACTGGCGATGATTTGTCAAACTCAGATTACTCTGCGGTACAAATGAGAACCTCGCTTAGAAGGTCTCGCTCGCGACCAAAGTCGTCTTTACAGTAAAGCGGGAAGTAACAGCAATAGTTATTAACTGGAAAAAAAAAACTGGTCAAACTTCTTACAAGCTAACCTTAAAAGGGTTTTGGCTTTCAACGGGTCTGTTTCGTGCGTTATCAACATTTTGTAAGTACTCAGCCTTTGTCGAAAGGAATTAATTTCACTTTTGTTTTAAAAAAAAATCACCGCAGTTTTTTCTTATGACAGTGGCGGGATGTCAAATTGATAACACAGTTCAATGATTTCTTGTCCACAATAACCTGAATAATCCAACAGAAGTTTTTTGCTGAATCATTTCCACTCTTCCCTTCTCTAAGCGGAATTTTCTGGCGTTGTTAGTTGTTGCGATTGGAATTTGGTCATATCCCTGAGACGACATTCATTAATCATATGGAGTGCTCCTTTGCTTTCGTTTTGATTCTTGTATACATTCCATGGTGCATATGGCCTTGATAACTTCAGTTGAGCTTTGTTCATTTGGGGTTACAAGTAGTTCGATTTCAAGAACGAAACACCACGAAACTATTTAAAGTCTTACTTTTGATGCTAGTATCATGATGATGCAGCCTGTAATGAGAACTTGTTTTGAAGTATACGTACTTAATATTCCAGTGTTGGGTGGGGGCGGGGAGGGAAATTTTTCTCGTGGAGTGAGAGGCAGCGTGCGAAGCTTTTGTAAGAGACTTTGATATGAGTGAGATGACGTCCATATTACGTATCAATTGAAGTGTTTGTTACACGCATGGACGGTTTTTTACCCCTATGACTTCCACTTTTAAAGAACTATTTTTTTGTTTTCCCGAATGATTTGTTTATGTCTAGACTATATGACACACAAAATGACACAAACACCTCACTGATCACTGTACAGTTTTAGAAATTTAGTCTGGTTTTAGAAATCACAGGGAAGTGCTTTTCCCTGTAGAAGAATTTCGAAAAAAAGCACTATACTTGTAAGCTAATAACATAGATGGAAATAAGGTTCTCTAATCTTTGAATTTCTTTCGTCACAAAACGTTCTACTCTTTCTAATTGTAGACTGTATTATATGCACATAGTAAAATTTTAATTTTAACTGAATTATTTTATTTGCAAGATTCTAATTTATTGAGTAGTTATGAATGTCAGCAGAAATTTAAACTGCCGAGCACAGTCTCAGAAATAATTTATTTCACAACTTTGACTTAGATGTTTCTTGACTGAAAGAGAAAAATTTACGTAATATATTTAGAATTGTCACTGTGTTGCTGGTCGATTTTGTATCGCAAGAAGGCTGAATATTTCTTTGTTACACTGCTAATTCTTAGCTGCGTATACTACTATTCTTTCCATTCTCAGGACATTCTGCAAATTTTAAATTTGTTTAGTACAGATTGATAGGTATAGTCTTAAAATGTTACGATGAGAACAGGAGCGTAGCTATAAAGGGAGGGGGGTGGTCCTGGAGCGCCATTAAACCTCACCCTCTCCCCATTGCGGGTTGATCGCTTTCTTTTGTTGTTGTTTTTTATTTTGAGTTAACAACATACAAACCTTATAATTAGGTGGCGAGAAAGGACCAATTCGAAGAATTCACAAGGCATACACCACTCAGTGCTCATTGGACAAAACGTCACTTTCACTAAAACTTGGCGACGACGTGTACACGATGAGATCACTCCACCTCCCCTTTCCTTTGTTACGCCCTTGTAGAAGTACTCTTCTATGTGTTCTAGCTTGAGAAGGTTTATTATAAAATAATTCAAATAGTACGCGCGCTCTGATTGGCCATAAAACCATTTTACATGAGTGTATGTAAACACGGTTTTCGTTCCTCTTTCATTAGTTATTTTATAAAAGAAATGTAAAATGGTTTCCGTGTTTACATAGCCTGATGAAAACACGCGGGAGGTTGGGAGAACACGGGATAAGCTGGAAACCACTTCGCTTCGCGTCGTGGTTTCCTACGCTTATCTCATGTTCTCCCAACCTCCCGCGTGTTTACATCAGGCTACGTAAACACGGAAACCATTTTACATTTCTTCATTATGTTGCTCTTTTTTAACAAACAAATAAATTTTATATTTTTTAAGGAAAAACAACCTTTTGCAGCATCGACCTAAATTTCTCGTCAAGCAAGTTTTTAAATGTCATTAATTCTGGTAAATGAAATTAGAAAAATTGTTTTAATATATATTGAGGTTCTCCTCACTTCAAACTGTTAGAATTATTGAAGATCAGCTGATTTTAGGGAGATTATTTATGTTGATCAGTTAACCCAGCGACAGTTGCTACAGACCAAAGCCTAAAAAATTTCATGTCAAATAAACACTGAGTAGAACAGGTATCGTTTGAGTGTCTCTGTTTTATCTCTTCTTTATATTCCCGCAGTATACGTTCTGCTAAGCCGAGTTGGAGGGATGTTGACAACAGCTCTAGTCGAGAAGTTAACGTTGTTGTTTTATTTTAGTTCAGCGTTAATCTCCTCGACAAATGGTATCTTACAGAATAGTTACGAAACAGGATCAAAACCCAACAGTACTCTGCTAAGCGTAAGATTAAAACCGGCATAAGGGAGGAAAGGGGAGGTAGAATGGTTTAAGTGCTTCTTGGTAAAGCTTAGTAGTCGATATTCAGAAGTGAAAGCGCTCCAGACACAATGAACGGTCAAGCTTCCGGTAAAATTTACATAGATCTTCCGATTCGAAGGGGCGTTAAAGAGAGAGGTGACGGTACACCTAGCAACCTTTGAAAGGAAAGAATCAGCGTTTATTAATTCACGATTACCCGTCCAAAAATGTCCAGGATTAAGAAAATCATAAACTGTACTAATACACAACATTACCTGTTTCTGAGTAAGAGATGATTATCACGAAGACAGACCGATATTATTCGACTTTACAAAATCATTAGCTGCAGCCGTTTTGGTCGCTCTAGCAAGGAGGAAAAATATCTGGCGACGACATTCATAGCTGAAGACGACGATTTGGCGACTTTTGATTGGTGGTAAAGCGGCAAGCCGTAATTTGTTATTGCTTATCGTTTATGACAGAAACAATTACTTGCCATTTTTTCTGGCGACCATTTTATGACTCTAAGAAAGGTTTGGCGTGGAGTCTTGAGTTATTTATTGCATAATTAAATTACCAATCATAATTTAGATTTTACTGGTCGGTAAACTGCTTCGAAAGCTAGAATACTTTTAAGCCCTCAACTGGCGCTAGGAGCATCCTGAACCTTCCATAACTCGTGAAGTGGAAAGTGATTCCACTGGTGTAAAACAAAAGAATTCACTGCATTTATTATGCTTTTCCAAACAAAAAAAGGAGATTTTTCGATTTTTAAATTGCGAAAGTTTGATGAGGGAAAAGCTTGTGAAAAAAAAAAGCCTAAAACTCGTTTAAATGGTCTCTTGGAAGCCTCGAGGGGTGAATCTACCTAAAGTTGATTTTATGTCATTTTCATGATTTGCTTCACGTTATCAAAAGAACGCAAAACTGCAACATTGACACACTCCGTACTCTGCACAAGTATATTTATCCCTATTTTTGGTCAATTCGTCTCATTTTCTGTTCACCCAGTCAGTGCCGTCAAGCCACGATCAGGTATTCCTGTCACCTTCCTTGGTGGTCACTGTCTTTGTTCCTAAGTAATAACGATGATCCTACGGAAAAGTGAAGAACTGCAGATCAAGTGATTATTGAGGACTGAAATATTTCCAAATGGTTCTGAGAAAAAAAGCCGTGACTCTCCAGAGCTAACTGTGAGGTTGTTCTCGCTCTGAATCAGTCAGAACTCTGATTCCCAGATGGTATGAGGCTGATTGTCGATTTCATGGCTGTATTTCAATACCGTTGACTGTAGAAGGCTCCAGATATTTTCAAGTTTATAGCGTTAAATATTTAACATATTTTGAAAATAAAACCTGATGAGTGCGCAGATCAGTAATTCAGTTCGGCTTATCTCTTTTACTGCCAATTTTCAATCTCTACTAGTGCCCTACCGATCGCTTGCAGTTCATTGAGTCTTGACGCAATGAGAAAAATTATCCAAACATATTTCTTAGAAATGTTTTAGGTCAGCGCTTCTTATTTTGTAGCGAGGATAAAGAGAGCTTTCATGCGTGTCAAAACAGAACAGGTAAATTAACCAGCGTTGAGAGTTGACGTTCCCGCCGCGAGGATCATAAACTAACCAATCACATTAGCTGTAATATCAATTAGCCAATAAGAGTGCTGATTAGTATAGTAGGTAGAAAAGGTCAGATACCGAAGGGAAAAATTTGATTACCAGTTTACTGATCGTTTACTGCTGGTGTCAATGCTGTGTTCTTGGGGAAACGTAGGTTAGTAAGTCATTTTTGTAAGATTTTCTGATAGTCACAATTTTTTTTAACTTTAGAAAAGGATGAATCGCATGGATGTCTACTTTAGCTGAGAAATTTGTGATGATTATTTGGGCTAAAGATCAATTCTAATTAATTTTCCCGAGAGTAACAAATTCCCTTATCTTTTGAATTCCAAAAGAAAGCAACTAAGTAAACTAGTCAATAATAATACTTGCCTTGTTTAATGTTTCACCTAGATCATTTGTTGTTGAAATCAATTCTTGTTGATATGTATTTGTTTAGTGAGTAAACAATCTTTCTGTAATTTATAGATACATATAGTAAATGAGGATCTCTGCTCTGAAAAATTAGTCGTAGTTTTTAAGACTTTAGTATTTGGTGTATGAAGCTTACTTACAGGGGTATGGCTCTACCCGATGATGCTGGTTTGATTCTTTTCATCACAATTCAATTATTTTTTAATTACTGAGTAATTTTAAAATCGAAAATATTTAGAGGGCATAATTCATTGTGGTTGGCCATTTTATACTTTTTCCTTTGAGATTCCAAAGGCTAAGTAAATGTATATGTTTTGTTATACCCCTTGTACAAATAAATTTTATGAACTATAAATAAAAATGCCATTTTTAAACATCTCAGCTGCTCTCGCACTTTACCAGATCATCTACCTATTATGCAGCCAACAGACTCACAAAGGCTAGGAGAATACCAGGAATTGCATACAAATAAAATGACGTTCAAATTATGAGCTGCATCAAAAAAATTGAGTGAATAAGTTTTCTTTATTTACAAACATATTTGGTAGTATTTCTTATATTTATATATACAGCTTGTTCTATGGTCACCCCACTCTTCTATCCCACCCCAATATATCATGTTACACCACAGGGAGTAGTTAGTAATATTTGCATTGTTAACTAACTTCATTTCATTTACCCTTTGAGCAGAAATTATTTAAATAAATCTAATGACATAGTTCTACAGAACAAAAATTATCACTCAGGCTGTGACAAGACAGAAGTCACCTATTAAAAAATAAGTGATAAATTGATGATAAGGTTACAGTGGAACCCTGCTAACTCAAACCCCCCAGTAATCTGAACAAGATCAGATTTCCCTAACCGATTTTTTTCAGTCATTTATCATCAGTTAACTCAAACCCCAGCCAACTGGACCCATTTTTTGTTTCCCTTTGGAGTTACAGTTAGCTGGGTTCTGCTGTACCTTAACCTTAAGAGAATTTACTCCACCTAAAGAAATTTTATTTGTTTGGGAGTGTTCTAGAACTTCTTTCATCTTGTGCAACATAATGGTTCTCATTAAACCAATTGTAAGAGCATGAGAAGCATCAATTTTAGTAAAAAATAAATGTAGTCATCTAATAACTATTTTTTTTATTCAAAATGAAGTGAAGAACACTCATAATTTTCAGAGAACATCCTTGATGCTTATCTATAAATATATCCACCGGATATGAACAAAAAAAAATTCAAACACTTGAATTGTTTATTTTCATGGCACAATGTGGGATATTGTTGATATGTGTTGTGTTACAAAATAATAAATTCAGAATGTACTGGTCTTGCAATCCCAGTGAACATGATGGAATTTTTTGCAACTAGATTGAAATATTTACGTTATGGCTAAGACAAATTCTTTTTTTTCTAACAAAAGGGTAATTTCTTATCAAATATTTTTATTTAAGAGATTGGGACCTCTTAAAGATTTGCAAAACTAAATTTTTTCTATACATTTGGTTAAGCACCCTGCCACTTAGATTTTGTTGGACATCATTTTTCAACTGTTCAGGAATTATTGGTTTTGGCTGCTGTGTATTGACAGTCTACCACTGTCTTTTTCCCAGAAAAATAAATAAGTTGAATCCTGATGTTCAGCAATTTATGAATTAATGCATAAAAGAAATAGGTCACCGTTTGTCCCAGTTTATCTAAGTATTATTTAATATACTATTTTATTAATTAATCTATTTATTGTTATATTCAACACGGTTACAAAGCACACCATGTGTTCAGTCCCTGTCATCACTTGATGCAGAAACTCCAGCACTTTCCTGTATACAACAAGAGATTTGCCTACGTGAAAACTTTTGGGTACACAAACATAGGGATTTTGTTGATGGAAATAGCA